TTTCCAGCATCAGACACCCCAGGAGGAAGAAGACCAGGAGGTTCACGGAGAGGACCAGGCACAGGGGTACGTAGGGGCGACCTTGAACGGCTTCCTCGTGGTGGTTCACCCCTTCTGTCACGAGCACGTACAGCTCCAGCCGCCACATCTGGACCATGCAAGGCCCCAGCAGGCGGGCACCCCGTAAGTTCCAGCATGGCTGCCCCAACCTCGAGGTGGTAGTTCTGCACGAGTGCGTGGCGGTACTGCTGGATCCACGCCGCGATCCTCGAGCGCACCACCCCATAAGGAGGGATCCGTTGCGACGGCCAGCACGTCATGGAAGGCGATGGGCGCGTACGACGCTCGAGGATCTCCACCAAGACGCGAGTCACCCCTTCTGCATGGCGCGCAGCCTCCACCACTTGTGCAACGCCCCAACGGTGTTCTGCTCCCACCCCTCTGCCTTCTTGTTCACAAAGTCCACGAAGTAGGTCTCGAAGTTGGCGTCGTACACGGTCATCCACCCCGAGCTGATGCAGTTGCTCCTCCTCGGCAGGTGTCAGCTGCATTAAAGTTGTGGCATCGTTCTCCCCATCCTCGCTCATTGGTATGTTCACCCCAGAGTCCACATCCGAAGCGACCTCGGGAGGAACTTCATCATTTGCAGCGCCAGTAGCCAGCGGCGCAGCATCCAACGTGGTTGCACCCCCAGGTGAGGGGTCATTGCTACCAGATGAGGTGGCCACCCCAGGAGCGGAAGCGTTGTGTCCAGACGAGGGAGCCGCCCCCGAAGTGGTAGCTGCAGCAGCTCTGGCTCGCTGGATCATGGCACGAGCCCTCTGACGGGCCACGCTGAGAGCACGAGCCGTGTTGTTAAACTGCAGCATTTCTCCAGCTGGTGTGCGCGGGGCGGGCTCCCCAATGTCGTTGGCCGTGAACCATGCATCCTGCAGTCGCTGTTGTACCATCCCACACTGGAACGCCCCAAGCTGCTTCTAGAAACCAGCCAACCCAGCACACAGGCGTCCCCGAGTTCCATACTCACTGGGATAGGACTCAGCCACCCCTTGGACGCGGCGAAAGAGGACGTCGTTGACCAGCTCCACCGTCGTCTCCGCAAGGATGTTGCTATAGGCCCACATCCCAAGCGCCCACGCCACGTGCTCCACCCCACCACTGTCACCAACATCCTGAAGGAACTCGAGCATGTTGTTGAGGTTGGCCAGCATCGAGTCGGTCCACCCCACAGAAATGAGCTCGTCTCTCTCCTGTGCAGTCAAACCCCAAGTGTGGAGTCCATCATCATCCTCATCCTCGCCTTCTTCATCATGTGGTTCTTGTGTCTCCTCGTCCGCGACGTTGTTGGGGGCGGAAGAAGGGGCACCCCGCTGCATCATCATGACTTCATCCCCAGCGTCGTTGTCGACTTGTGGTACCTCGTTGGGCTCGGGCAGGTTCTCCACTTCGGACGTTCCATACACAGTGGCAGCGCACGCCCCGTCCGCAGGAACTGTAGTAGACGAGGTAGTGGTGGAGGTAGTCATGGCGTAGGCGCGACGACCCAGTGCCTCCCAAAGACGTAGTAGGTCATCAACAGAGGGCAGCCCAGAGATAGACCAGTCCACCCCAACTTCGTCGGCGCCATCAGAGGGTGAAGTGTCCATTGACCGCGGTGCTTGGTGCCAGTCACCCCAGTCTCTCCATTGTTGCAAGGTCCACCAAGGAGATGTGACACCGCCAGACGCCCCACGGCTGCGCCATTGGTGTTGAACTTGAGAAGTCCCAACGTGGGGTGTGTTGCTAGAGCTAGACGCCCCCGCTTCATGATGACGTCCCTGCATGGGATCTGAGGCGCGCAAAATTTCCCGTAGTGTTGCTCGGGCCGAGTCGTCGATCTGGTAGTCCGCCCCACGGTTGTAGGCCCGCCAAAAAGCCACTGGTCTGAACGACCCATCATCCCAATCACGTTGACGACCCTCACGTCGTTGAGTACGAGTGTCACCACCTCCACCGCGGTGGAACCTCTCCTCCCAGTCGTCTCTTTGGCGGTCCACCCATTCGCTGTGTCTGTAGAAACCCTTGGCCCGAAGTTCTTGTGGATGTAGAGGAGCGCCACGACCCCATCCCGGCACATACAGAAAGCGCGTCCCATCCGTAGGCTCCGACGTGTCATGGCGGTCATGGTTCGGGACACCCCTCCCTGTGGTAGTTCGTGGTGTCTCGTGTGAAGAGGAAGAAGGTCCATCCCAATTGTTCCGGCGATCTTGTTCACGTTGTTGACCAGGTTCCGGATCACGTCTTTGCCACCCCCCATGGTCGGAACCAGCATTTTGGTGCCACGAGGAGGAGGAAGACGTAGTCCTGTCACCGACGCGTCCTCGCATAGTGTGTGAGGAAGACGGCGTCCAGTCCCAGGCATCCCAGCGAGCTTGCGCACCATGTCCATGTTCGGGTACACGACCTTGCCACCCCCCTCGTTCTTGAACATCGTTGCGTTGTTGCCAGGTAGAGGAAGAAGACCAGGAAGGCGATGAGCTCCAAGAAGACCATGTCGACGCCGAGGGCCATGTAGACCAAGTGTCCGAAGTCCATTGTTCACCCCATTGTCCAGGTCCCAAGTCATTGGAGGCAGCCCATGTGTTGGGTGACCACTGTTCTCCCCATTGACCAGGCCCAAGGTTGCCATTGGCGGCTTGCCAACTGTGCGTCCCACCAGCAGCGGGTTCAGGGTGTGGTTCCATGCCTCCCCACTCTTCACTGTGGCCAGCCGGTGCATCATCCCACTGGTCATCCCAATGTACACGATGTTGGCGAGCTTGTTGTGGAGGGCGACCTTGAACAAGACACCCCAGGAGCAGCCCAGCAGCGGCGGCGACAAACGGCAAGACCGGGCGCATCATGACGGCGAGGCGGCAAGGGGGGGTTACGTCCTAGAGCAGGGCAAGAAGAGGAAAGTGTAGTGGACGTCCCTGATCATCAGCATAGCACAAACGTTGAGGGAGTGTGAAAGTCTACATCCCGTAAGTAGCATTGCAAGCTGTACTCGAAGTTAACGAGCTGCGCGGCTGCTGCATCAACTCAGTGTCAAAGAGAATCATCCCAGCCTCCGACGCACTCACGAAAAACACGGTCCAACCCTCAAGCATCTTCCAGACTACTTTGTCGGGATCGAGTCCATGGCACATCCTTAAGGTTCATCCACAACGGCATCAGGTTTTTCCACCCCTCGCGATTTGACGTGGCTAGTTTCCAGTCCACCCCCAGAGCCTCAGCAATGTCACGCTCAGTGTTCGTAGCATGAAACCGTCGTGGGTGCCTCTTGCCGTTGGCAACGTTCTTCTGCTCAGCTCTCCACCATTTGAGGTTGCGCCACCCCAACATCAGGGCGGTCATGCACTCTTCGTCACCTTCTCTACGACGACACCAATGCCCCAGCAAAGAATACTGGAACTTGGTGACGCGCGTACTCCATCTTTCCACCCCATTAGCTGACATCCAGGCCCTGATGGTGCGCAGGCTACGTTTGTTGTAGTCGACCCAGTTCTCCTGTTGTCCTCTTTTCACCCCAAAGACGAGACGGTAGATGCGAAGTTGGGCAGAGTTGAGCATCATGAGGTCGTCTTTGGACCAATGTAACGCCCCCGCCGTCCACGACCACGTCCCCTCGATAAGGCAGCGTACCATTTTCGTCTTTGCCGTCCAGCTCGCATGACCACATA